AAAAAAAAAAATGTGAATGCTGGGCCCCACCAGTGGAGTACTTCTAATTTTTTAGTTTAGGTAAGGGGTCAAGAAGTCTTACTGGCATTTCAAGTGCTTCTGTTGTTGAGATGATAGATACCATCATCTCTTAAACATTTATTACTCAAAAACCGTCAAGATAAGCAACTGAAAGTGATTTTTTTTAAAAAATTATTTATTTTGCATTCAAAAGCTGGGGTGTAGGCCGGAGGTGAGAGGGTAGGGTGAGAAAATTTACCAGAGATAGAGCATGAAACAGAAAAGGTGGATTGACTGAAATACCCTGCTGAAGGGAGCAATGGGTGAGACAGGGGAGATCTGTTGTACCATGTGGGCTAGCTCCCTGGTCAGGGATAGAAATAATGCTACATTGGCTATGAATAGCTTCACAGTGCTGAGATTTAATCCCTTGTACCACCAAGGAGGTCCCAGTTGAAATTCATTTTTATTAAAGAAAGAAATTCCATCCCCAAAAAGCACATGCTATCATATATATACATATACATACATACATACATACATACAGCTATTAAAAAAAAGGCTAACAATAAAATGAAAATACTGATGGAATACATACAAGATAGAATTAATGCAATAAAACATGGGTTACAAACTATCCCCACTGACCAAAACTGGTTTACTACTTTTTCAAAAAAGAGCTTTATTGGAAATGAAACACATTTGTTTATGTATCATGTGTGGGTTATATTTTATGTAATATGTATGGGTGTTACAGGAGCAGAGTTGACTAGTTGTGCTAGCAGTTGTCTCACAAAGTCTAAAATATTAATTATCTCAACTTTTATAGAAAAAAATGCTATAAAATAATTGGTAAGACTGAAGATAGATCAAACCTAATAAAACCTCTGGGCCCAGATAACTTGAGTTGAAATTCCAACTCTGACACTCACCAGTTGGGTACGCTTAGGCAATTTAACCTCTTTGTGCTTAAGTATTCTTATTTACAAAGTGGTATAGTAACAGAACTTATGTCATAGGATTAATATGCTGGTCAAGTCTAATTATGCATATACTATAAATTTTTTTTTTTATGATCCCTTACGTTCCTGCTATGAGTGAAACCATCTGGTATTTTTTTTCTTTCTTTCTGGCTTATTTCACTAAGGATGATCCCTTCCTGTTCCATCCATGTTGCTGCAAAAGGCATGGGTTTATCTTTTTTTTTTTATTGCTGAGTAATATTCTATTGTGTATATGTGCCACATATCAGTTGATCTGTGTTGATCAGTTGTTGCAGAAGTTGTCAGTCTTAAGTAACTTTACTAAAACGTCTCTACCAAACACTAGACTATATGGGACAACAGGCATCTATTTTTAATCCAGTCATCTATTTTTGGCCATTTGGGTTGATTCCATGTCTTCCCTATTGTAAATAGAGCAATAATACAGAGATACAAGTGTCTGTTTGAATCACTTTTTGTGTCCTTTGGGTAGATACTTCGGAGTGGGATTGCTGGGTCATATGCAAGCTCTATATTTAGCAGTTTGAGAAAACTCCAAACAGCTTTCCATAGTGGTTGTACTAGTTTGCATTCCCACCAGTAGTGTAGGAGAGTTCCTTTTTTCCATACCCTTGCCAACATTTGTTGTTAGTAGTTGTTTAAATATGTGCCATTCTCACTGGTGTAAAATGGTATCTCATTGTGGGTTTAATTTGCATTTCTCTTATTACAAGTGATGTCAAACATTTTTTCATATGCCTGTTGTCCCATATAGTCTAGTGTTTGGTAGAGACTTTTTAGTAAAGTTACTTAAGACTGACAACTTCTGCACCAACTGATCAAATTTATTATCACAGAAAGAGGGAAAATCAAGCATAATAAACTCCCTCATTTACTGTAATTGGAAGTTTATAGATTTATGAAAGTCTTACTAAGTAACTGGACTCTTAATTAAACATCTAGACTACCGATCCAACTTCCTAGAGACAGCAAATACAGAGGACATAGGAAGATATTGACACTAAGGGATGCTATGAGCAACATCTAGAATGTGGAAAATTTTAGTTAAATTGATTAGTTTTTTAATGAATAATGAAGGGGAAAGTAAAGATGAGGGAAACTAGTTCAAGAGAAGATTAAGAGGTATATCAGCAATTAATTGACCATGTTTGCTTTCCAACTTAAACAAATTAATGGTGATTTTTTGGTAAACAATACTGGAATATTATTTTGATTTTTTATATTAATGAATTAATATTAATTTTTAAGATGAGAATAATGGTGTTGGGGTTATGTTCAATATGTCCTTATATTTCAGAGATATCTATTAAAAATTGTAGATTAAATGATATGTTGTTTGGTGTTTACCTCAAAATAAGCTAAAGACATAGGGAAATGAAAATATATAGATGAAACAAGTTTAACCATACATTAATAGTGGTTGAAACTCAAAATACCAAAAACATTGTTTTGCATTCTGGCTTTGCTGTACAGTAACTGGTACTAGTCTACCATACAACTCCAAATTTCTGGTAAGCATAAAGAACAATTACTTTTAGACTTTGAACAACAGATAGTTTAGGAATGTGATCCCCAAAAGAAACTGAAGAAGCCAAGTGAGCCCTATACTTACCCTGTCTTTCTGCCTATATACATTTATGGGAGAGTATTGAGTGTTCCTTCCAGAATCATCCCCCCTTCTGTTTCCTAGCCCAATATGAAGGGAAAAATACTCTCACCCATTTGGAAGAATAAAAGTAAACAAAGGTAAAAGTAAACAAATGTTTTAAAAAGGAAAGGAGAGCCTTACCAAGTTGAAAATTTAAAAATTTGTCACACACAAGCGTATAGTTAACATGAAAAATAGAAAAGCGTATTATAATATACCCTGCCAAAAGAGAATCCCACCCAAGTTATTGTGAACAATACACTGTTGTATTTACTTTCAGATTTTTTTCTTTAAGTATTACTTAGTCATTTTGTCTTTTTACCTAACCTTATAATTTTTCAAATTGTTTCATATTGTCAAACACTGTGGACTGGCCTGGAGATTAAGAGTCCAGTCCTCAGAGAAGCCTTGCCCAAGAGAGCTGGGAAAATAGCAAGAACCATACTCTCTGCAAGGCCAGTGTTATAACCAGACCATGTGACTTCTGATATTTTTTACTCACCAGACCAAAACTAACGTCTACAAGTACATTCAACACAGGTCAAGAAGGGTGAGAAATTTTGTGAGGTTGAAAAACTTTGTAACTCAACTTTCTAAGTCGCTTGCAAACTAAGCAAAACATAATTATACGCCCATCCACGCACGCACAGCAAAACCAAAAAGTAACAAAACAGCTTTCTTACTCATCTGCCAACTTGGCATCGTTTAGAAACAAGTTCTTCATTCCTGCGGCTCTCAGCTTTCATATGCTAACACTGTTAGGGGAATTTAAAAGCGTCTCTATGAACTTGAGAGACTTAAAAAATTTAAATTAATGTGCGCCATTTGGAATTTATGATTTATCTTGAACGAGGAAAGAAGCAGGTCGTATGAATACCAGGTGCGGTAGGATGTCCTTCTTGGAAATAAAACCTTGGCGAACTCTTGAGATTTCCAGGGCGCGATCAGTGTAAAGAATGGAAGTGAGTTTTAGCCGGGGGACCTATTCTGCAGGCAGCCACGTTTTGTAGCTGAATACGCTACAAAACGCGTGGACACCTACTTTGCAGTCACACGTTTGTCCAGCAAAGCCTGTGACGGCCACAGCAAAGTAGAGTGCAGGTGACCGCCACGCGGCGCTGGCCGCGCCAGCTCGGGAACTACAACTCCCGGCGCAGCCCAGAGTCCCCACTGGCCCCGCCTCCCGGCCCGAGCCGCCCGCGGTAAAGCCGGGTCGCCGGGGAGTCAGTGGCATGGAGCCCCGGGCGGCGGACGGCTACTTCCTGGGCGATGTGGGTACGTGCGATCCACCGAGGGTGCGGGCGCGGGCGCGGGCGCGGGCGCGGGCGCGGAGCCTGCGGGCCAAGCTGTGCAGTTGCTAGCACCGCCAGAGCCTCTCTGGGGACTGACGGGTTGCATCTGATGACATTCGCTCTGAGATCGGGGACGTGCTGTCCCGAGTGAGTCGTGAGGGCATTTTGATGGGCCCTTACGGCGCCGGGTGATCCTATGCATCTGAGATGAGGTTCTGCGGGTGCCGCTCTCTGTTCCCGGCCAGCGCTTTGCAGGGTAGTCGTCGTTACGCCGCACCGGTTGTGAGATAATAGAACTCAAGCCCACCAGAGCGCTGTGCACTTAGTCCTTGCCAAATTCTGAGGCAAGACCCGGGGAAGTAGCCAGGAACCGAGCTGGAAACTGGACCGCCCTGGGAAGGGTCGTGTAGAGTGTCATTAGCATCCTATTGATAGTTCCAGCTGTAACACGGGGAATCCACCAGAAAGAGAATATGCCCCTGTGACTTAATGTCACTGTGTGAAAAAATACCATTTCAGTCATCTTCTTTACCATTTGGACAATGGAAGGTTAAAGCAGATTGGAGGACAAAGGGACAGTCTTTGGGGAAGCAATGTTTCTGCTTATGAATACTAGGAAGGATGAGATGAATGGTGTAGCACTTCAAAATCTGGGGGAAAAATAAAAAGCTAAAGTATTTTTACACTAGTGAAAATAGTATGCAAGTAAAAAACGAAAAGTCTTAAGGTTTAACTTTAAGAGAAAATTGCAGTCACAGCAGGTAGGATATTTTAAATAACTTTACCAAATAACCACTGTCAGCATCATCGAAGAATTTAATAAGCATCTGTTTTAACTTGGCATTGCACCCAAGCCCAAGACTTTGACCTGCTAGTGTGGCCTGTATTTGATTGCTCAAGGAATACGTAGGACAGGAACAGCTACCTAAAACTGTTAAGCACTTATTTTTAATATTTGTTTATGCAGAATGTTTAATAGTGTACATAACATTACCTCTTGTTATATATCCTGTGTAGTTTGTTAATGAATGCTATCTCCAGAGGAAAAGCACTTTCTAAGCTAATGGATGTAAAATTCTGGGTTTCCTTTGTCAATGGGGCCTTATCATTGTTTAAATTGAATCTATGTCCTGCTGTCATTTTATTCCTAACACTATTGAGTAAGTGGAATGTGTTGAATCCAAAACATCAGCATTATTCCAGCCAAAGGAGGCTGATTTTAGGACCTTTAACTCATAGTAACATTGTGATCTCAAATTTTGGATATGTGATATACTACAACCCACACATGCAGGTATTTTGTTTTGTTTTGTTTTGTTTTCGAAAACACAAAACGTCACAGAGGTAAAGATTACAGAGCCTTACAATATGACCTGATCAGTAAGTACAAGGAATTCAGGTGACAGTCACATCTTAAAGTAAATTGAATGTCTATGATTTAGCAATTTGTAATTGCAAATAGACCTTGAGTGAAAGTAAAAAAAAAAAAAAGTTTCCCACAGAGAAAATAGTAATAAGAATAAGAATAAGATTAAACACTTATATACCAGAGATATTTTTTTTATTACAAAGTTTATTTTTACATCATTTTGCACATTTTTTTTTCCCATCTCGATTGTAATACCCGCAGGTTTCCCATCATCAAATCACCCTTGTGCCACCACCACAGTCCCGTGCATTCCCCCCCTCCACCCCGTTTTTGATCCCATTCCCCACTTCGCTCCCACAGAATGTCTCTGGTATATGGTTGTTCATTATTTTTGTTATTTTCTCGTCTGGTCCATTATACTCCTGCTATGAGTGAAACCATCTGTATACCAGAGATATTTTACAAGAGTGGAGTGGGGAATGGAATCAAAAATGAGGGAGAAGTGCACTGGACTATGGTGATGGCACATGGGTGATTTGGTGATGGGAAGCCCACGGGGATTACAACTGAGATGGAAAAAGGCACAAAATGATTTAAAAATAAACTATTATATTATTAGAAAAAATATATGTTCCCATAATTAGCATCCATACTGAAGAGTTTCAGACAGAAGTAGGGGCTGACAGATGATGAAAAGGTGCCTTAGAGAGCAGACCAGTAAGCAAGGTGAGCTGCTGATACACTCTTCTGTTATCCTTGGTCAAGATAACAGAAAATTCATTGCCTCAGTGTGTGTGTGTGTGTGTGTGTGTGTGTGTGTGTGTGATAGTGTATGGGAGAGAGAGAAAGTGGGTGGATGGATGGGTGGTGTGTGTGAAGGTGGGTGGATGGATGGGTGGATTCAGAAGTGAAATGGAGAGAGATAAAGAAGGGCAACTCCCCAGCCTGTGATAAAGAATGGCAAGGTTGTGGGCAGGCACTAACTACAGCCCTGTGACAGCTGCAGGACAGTCACAATCACTGACAATTTAGAGGTGAAAGTAACATAACCACAAAGCAAAGCTGAGGTTTAAATCCAGGTGCGCGTCCCACCTTTTAAAATTTTTTTTGGGTTATTGTTTGTTTTACCCTTAAAATAGACTCACACCCTTCTCATGAAACAGGTTTATCTCTAACCCATGCATAGGACAACCTGAGTGCTGGGGTGGTTTTATTACTGGGATGGGTGGGCCCTTTCTGTTGTGGGTCTCTGAAGGGATGTGCATTGTTTTTACCACCTATCAATATTGCCAGCTTTGCATTTTATCATTTCCTCCTTCTGTCTATCAGAGATGAATTTGCCTGAGGGATCCACAGTCTGTATTCATTCTTCTTCTGTCATCAAAATGTGATTTTTTTCTAATGATTGATTTATTTATGCATACAGAACTGGGATACAGGCCAGAGGTACAGGGACAGTGAGAGAATTCACCAGAGACAGTTGGGGGAAAAAGAGGCAAATTGGCGAGTGCACTGCTGAGGGGAGAGGTAGGCTGGTCAGGAGAAGTCTGCTGCACCATGTGGTTCAGCTCCCTGGCCTGGGATCAAATTCATGCCACAAGAAGGTCATCTTATTCCAGGTCTTAGGAATAAACTCTGCAGCTTTCTCTGCACATTCTGACATGGATTTGGGGCATAAAAGGGCAAAGTCAGTGATTTGGAGTATGAAAATGTAATATAATAGCTATGAGAATTAACAGGCAAAGTAAGAATCACAAGGTAAGAATCAATTTGTTTCCTCTCCATGACTTGTATGTTCAGTCTGTTTACAACTCCTGAGATGCTATTCTAGCTGAGCAATTGGGGTCCTTTCCCTCTCTTGCCCCTTTGGTAACCTGTTCCTCAGGCTATTGGTAGGACCTGGGTACGGTGCAACTCAGGCGCCTTCATGGGAACCATCTTGGAAAGTGATATTCACATTCTAGTTTTAAAAGATTTTCTTCCCAACTTGTATTGGTGAACCAACAGACAGTGCTAATGTCAACCAAGAATTTAATTAGTGATAGAGAATAGAGAAAATATTTCTACCTCCTGTTTCTACTTTTCTAAAGATTTAGCTCTCACCAGAATGCAGTATTGAAGCAAATGAATTTGCAAGAGCAGGCTGAAAATGCACAGATAACTAGTAACTATTTTAAGAAATAGAATTTATAGCATTGTCAAGAGGATTTAAATTTCCTTCATGGACCATGTAGGTGCAGATGGAAATTTGGTTACTAATAGGCAAAAACTGAGGAAACACAGTAAAGTGTGTTCTCTCAGATCTGACTTGCTCCTCAGTATCTTACTAAACATTTAAATAGACCTCTTCAGCCTGCTGCAGCTAATAGATGTTCAGAAAATAGAACAGAGCCATTCATCTGTTCTGTCATGGTTGCAACTGTGCAACTGTATCAGCATATTTTTAAGCACAAGCACAGACATGAGCAGCCTACTGTGAGATAATGTAGACTTCTGAGTGGGTTAGGTAGGATCAAAGGTTCTCACAGTGAATCAAATACCTAAAGGACCTTTTTAATAGGAGTTTCCCCTGTGAGAGGAGAGTTTTGTTGCTCATTCCAGAGGACAGAGTTATAGGGGGAGGCTAAAGCTCACGTTATATTCCTATCTGGAGATCCCTGCAGTTCCATGTACGATAGCCTGCCAGGGCAGGCTTGGGGTGGTCAGTCAGGGAACACTGCTTGGCATTGTGAAGGATCGCTCAGCACCCACAGGGAAAGACCACGGTGCAAAATGTTTATAATGCAAACCTGAAGTCACCTGCATTCCTGTATCTAGAGTAAGAAGCAATAGAAACCATGAGATGTCTGTGAGTGATCAGGCTTTGAGAACTTGCTTTCCATGAGTTGGAAAGGCAAAGCCAGAAGTAATAATCTTCTGTTTGGGCTAGAATTTAACTTGCTTCTTAGGATCCAGAGCCAAGAATCCTTGCTGATGCTGAATAGCCGGGTGATGGTTGGTTTTGCATTGGGACAGGAAATGTGGCCTGAGTCCAGATGGGCAAGTTTCTAAACATGGGCCACACACCCAAACATGTACATGCCAGCCTGCGTGATGGGGAGGACTGGCTTGAGCATCACAGATGCCTTTAGATGTACGATCTGATACAACCTCTCCTCACTTCTCCATCCCCACCCCCAGCAACCTTTCACCTCTCTGTGTCCAAGTCCTGTGCTGAGAGTTCCAGCTTCTGACATTTATTTCATACTTCACACTCCCTGCAGACATCCTGTCAGGGGAGATGAAGCCTGAGCCCACTTCTGCTCCTCCACTTGTACATTTATTTCCCTCCGGGGTCCTTCACTATAATTACTTTTTTCATTTAAATTGGTATTTAGTATTTCCACTACTATGACTGAATTTCCCCACAGCTCTGCTACTTGCTATGCCAGGATTACATGTCCGGTGACTCTTTGCTTTATTGGAGGTGACATCCGTTCTTTGTGTCTGTGTTTTCTGTCCCTCCATCCAGTAGCCCCCATCTGCCTGGGCACTTCACATACCCCGGAGATTCCACCGCCTTTCTCTTCTTTGGATGAATCGAGGACTCCCACCTACTCTCGCGGCCTGGCCTC